TGGCACTAATCAGAGCTATTCTGTAAAGGACAGCTTGGAGAATGGAGAAGAGAAATGATTTAATTTCCATGATTCTCAGTGCCGCCTCAGGCCCTTTACTGCAAGCAGATCAAACCGCCCCCCTCCCCCAAGCCAAATTATGTTCTAAGAAAAAAGGGCAATGGAATGACTCATCACCTGTCCTGGTGCTCAGCTCTCACAGGTAACTGACATGCCAAGGGCCTTTCAGGGTGACAGGCGATCCAAATGCATAGCACACTACAGAGGCAGAGACGTGATCTCGGTGGAGGAAGAAGGACTCAGAGCAAGCAGGGAGTTTGTCCCCCGCCTGACATCTTTCTGTCTCTGACCAAAGCACCACCTGGAACTTCAGTGGCTCCACCCACCTCACATCCTCCCGCAGGAGGGAGGGCCTGGGGCAGGCCAAGCCACCCCCAGGGAGGGCTTCCTGGGAGATGCTGCAAGCGAGGCACAGGACTGAGGGGCCATCCGCCACGCTGTGACTCCATCAAGGTGTCTGGGCTACTCCATCTCCTATATGAGAAGCAAAGCGGTGCACTGGGGGGGGGGGGTCCTCTTATCAGAGCTAACATGGGCACTTCCCTACCCCCGCCCCCCACCCCACTGAGGGATGTTGCTTGCAGGGGGAGACACACACCTTTGCCATAGGAGGGATCTCCGCAACCACCACCCGCTCACAAGGGCATGTGGAAAGCCCTGCTGCATCGGACCGATGGAGCGTCCAGCCCAGCACGCCATTCAAACGAGCCGCTCACGGGATCCCTCCACCAGGACAGCTCCCAGGGTTCCACCGGTCCAAGCTCCTCAGCAGCTGGTAGCACTTCACAGAGGTGGTGCACAAGCTCTGAAAGTGGAGTTTTCTTTCCATGAGTCACCAAACAGTGCGTAATTTGTGTCAGTCTGAAGAGGACCTGCATGCACATATAGAAGCATAGAGACAGAGCGAGTCAGGAGGGGTCTCCCGGGCCATCTAGTCTGACCCCCAGCTCCAGCCAGCTCCACTCGCGACATGCCCACCATGTGGACGTCCAGCCTATCCCTGAATACCCGCACCGATGGGGCCTCAGCCACCTCTGTGGAAGCCCATTCCACCCCCTCGGGGTCCTAACCATCCTGGCACCTACCCTACATCTTGGCTCCCTGAGCTTTGCTCTGTTGGAGCGATCCTACCTTCCTCTGCAGGGGAGAACAGGTCTCTGCCCACCTCCGTGTGACACCCCCTCACATACATGTATGTCGCCAACAGATCCCCTCTGAGTCTCCTCTTCTCCAGGCTGAAGAGACCCAGTTCCCTCAGTCTCGCCTCATACAGCTTCCCCTGCAAACCGGCCACCAACCTTGTGGCCCTGCGCTGCACTGACTCCAACCTGTCTATATCCTTCTGTAATGAGGGGCCCAGAACTGAGCACAACGCTCCAGTTGCGGGCGCACTAGAGTCGCATAGAGTGGCAGTAACGCCTCTCTCGATCTAGAAGCCACGCTTCTGGCTATGCAGCCAAGGGGGCCATTCGCCCTCTTGGCTGCCACGTCGTGCTGCTGGCTCAGTGGGGCTTCTTGCGTGGCACAGGGCTAGCGAGATCCCCATCCGTCCAGCAGGAGCTCTACATCCATATTTGGCTGATTTTGCGGGATTTCAGGTACAGTTTGGATCCCTCCCTTACATATGCTGGCCAGTGCTTGGCAGTCTCTTCTCAGCCCTTCTGTTTTGGTGTCTCATGCAGCTTCTTTGTCATGACTAGAGATAGGGAGGACCCAGACAGGTGTGATTCGCAGAACAGGCCACAGCTCACCTGACAGGTGGTCCACCCTGACACTTTTTGGCATGAAAAAGCATAATAGAAGCATGTCGAAGGAACGTGTTGGGCTGCTCTCCCCGATCTCTGCGTGTCCATCCATGGGTCAACTGCACACCAACTCGAGGCTGACTTTTCCCAGCAGCTCGGCCCAGTGAGCCCCGGCAGTGCATTCATGACTAAGAGAAGATATTCACCTTCTCAAGAACTTGCTCCCACTCACTTTGGGATGACTGGGAACGAACTGAGCCTGTACTTCAAAACTGTAACTAACCAGGTACATTTCCCAAGTAGAATTCAACATTTGGAGATATCCCTCACCTGGCTTCCAGAATCCGCCAGGTAGCTTTCCCAACTGAAAAAAAATCGGCATGGCAGTGGGAGCAGAGGGACAGGGTTGGGCCAGTTGAGACGTCTGCTCTGTGAAGATTTTGAAATGAGTCTCCCCAATCCAAACCTCAAGTATATACTTTAGTTGATGGAATCCTGTGTAAAAAAAGTTTGTATATTTAAGCAACGCATATCAAAATACACGTCGATTTGTGTGTCGGGGGCGGGGGAAGAACAACCTTTGCAGAGGAAAAGCATGCGCTTCCCTGGGATTCAGTGTGCCAGTTCGGTCTACCTGAGCACAGGCCGCAATACTCTGTCTCCCTTCGGCCACATGACATTGGGTCAAGGTGTGTTGGGGGCAGTCATTCCCCTTTTGTCCTGAAATGGTTAAAGCAGGAGATGGTCCAGGGACTGGTAAGGAGGACAGAAGCAAAGGCAGGACTTCTTGTCCGGGTTAGACTTTAAACCACACTGGGGTTCACGTTTGACCGGGTGAGTGATACAGCCCCCTGGAGGCCTCTGGGCCAGTCACTCTCTTTCAGCCTCACCTACCTGGCAGAGCTGTTACGTGAGCAAAGCGGGGAAGGGAGGTCCATGTGTGCTGTCCTGTGGTCCTTGAAGGAAGAGCAACGTGGACATGAAATAAACAGAGGCAGTTGCTTGCTTTTGGATGACATATCCCCATATAAATGCAATCACCAAACTGGATTAGGATTGGTGATGAAGCCCCTGCTCTGCATAGAGGAGGTCCCAGGTTCAGGTCTTGGCACGACCACGTAGGGGTGGAAGACCTCCTGCTTGGAGCCTTGGCGAGCCAGTCGGTCTTGGTGAGAATGGATTAGAGGGACCAAATGGTCTGACTCCATATTCAAGGTAGCTTCCTACGTTCCGAATAGGATTGTCTCCGAGTCATCTATGGCATGCTGAAAGCAAATCTTGAACAGGGTTAACTTTGGGGATACGGGACCAAGTGTATTGTGCTCACACAAAAAGGGGGGATTCCCACAGTTGGCAGAAATATTGAAGAATAGGTGCCTTGTTGTAGATTTTGTTTTCAACACAAGTGGGAAAAAAGATGGCAGTGCAAGAGGATGAAGGGAAAGCTTGTTCTCAAAGAAGGTCAATATATAGGGTGAAGGAGGAACAGCTTAATGAAAGGCCCACATGCTTGACCTTCATAGGACTGCAAGTTCAACCTTTAGACTCTCCACATAAGACAGGATCTTGGCAAGGAGGGGTTCACACAACGTTATGAATTCACATTGACCTATTATATAGGTGACTTATTTTATATTGTAATTCGTTTTATATTTTTAATGTATTATATTTTAATGTTTTGTGAGCCGCCCCGAGGCTTCGGCGAATGGGGCGGCATAGAAATTTTCTAAATAAATAAATATATTGTCTGGACCCAGCCAGAGTTGCTTGTGCATGGTTTAAACGCCATGCGGCTGGATTCTCACAGCATGGCAAATCTCAGAGATGTACCTGCCAGTACTATGGGACCAGATAAACCTGGATCAGATAAGCCCATTGTCCAACTGGAAATATGTCAGCTTCAGACATTCCCTTGTGAGGCCTTCGATTCAGCTACCACAGCCTACAAATCTCAGGGGAGCTCCAGAAGGTTCTCTGTCCATGATTTGAGACTGCTAAGAATTGGCAAGATGTGCCCACGGGTGGGTGATAACCAAGCTATTTCTAAAAATTATGCCGGGATACGTATTGTATGGGGCTAGTCTAGTTAGAGCTGTGCTCAAATGCTCTCTTAGACTCCTCCACCGTATGTGTGGGCAGAGAGCTTCTGCAGGGGGTGAGCCATTGCCAATACTCGCCACAGGTGTGCTGGCAGGCTGGCTCCCATTTGGCATCCAGGTGTGAGGGGTAAGAACTGCCTCTAGCTCCAGGGAAAAGGAAGAAGACGCCCCCGAGTCCTCCAATTTCCTGAAAGTCATTTTCCCCCATGAAAGAGTTTTCCATTGTTTTGCCTCTTTCTCAGGTGCTTTGCTCATGCTTTGGAGCTCACCTCGTCGGCACAAGGCAGCTGAGGGTGGTGTGTATTTCTCCTCCCCTTTCCTTAGACATCTTCCCATTGCTTCATGTAGTCTTTCCTTCACTTTAACTGAAGCGTAGGGAACGCAGAAGGCTGCGCCCTTCCAGAGAGGTTTGTGCACCCAGTAGGAAGCACCTCTGCCACATCTTTAGCACAAGAAACCCAAACCAAACCTCTGAGAATTTCCCAGAATTTTCTTCCCCACTGAATATCTTTCTTATCAGCTGGAGAGAGACCTCAAAAATGTAGGGGATTTTTTGGCACAGCTCCTTCTCCAGTCCTCTGCAAAAGAAGCAGGTGCCCTCTGGACAATAACGACTGAAACAGAAAGCCTCAGAAAAGAACAAACGAAACACGTGCAAGACGGATCAGGAGTGAAGTGACTCGCTCAATGCCAAGTTGCGTTCTACTCGTCTGTGTGTCCATCTTTCGTTTCCATCAGCCTGTTAGGAAAACATCAGCCTTTCTCTGCAGAGGAACCTGCAGATGCTTGGCCATCTCATCCCACCCCATCTGCACTTGCCAGCTGCCAGGAGTGCTGGGAATTGTAGTCTAAATGGTGGGGAAAGCAGACTACTTGATCAATGCTATACAAGTTTGGGCAGATTTTGGGTTCAGGTTCAGGTTACCTGACCAAGGCAGGTCTTTTTTTTTTTTCTTTTCTTTTTTGTCTAAGCTTGCATAGGATGGTCCCCAGAGCTTATAACACATCACCTCATCACTGAAAAGTACCACACTACAGATGGGGCTGGGGAGAAAATGAATGTGAAGCAAGATCAGAGTCCTTTTAGGAGTTATGACCATGTTTTATTGTAGAAAACTACAAAGGCAAATGTTTTCTCTCTATGAGCAGACTTGGCTACAATCGCCTTGCACCTGGAGCATTTGGTGTTTCACACAATATCACGGCTGACACAGCCTCCTTTGATTCACAACCAGTGTGAGAACATGAGGACTCAGCAGTCTCATAAGGTCAGAATAGGGTCAAGAGGATTGTGAGTCTAACAGACTCTGGACTACTGAAGACAATAACATATAATCCACCGCGCAGGCCGACTTCTGTACAATATACATCACATTTTGCAAAATGCTAAAACCCCAAAGTAAAAACAGAATCAGAGATAGTAAGCCATTTTGTGGGAGCAATTCTATACAATGGATGAGATTCGGGTTTTTGGTTTCACGCTCACATCGCTCACGCATAAGCTTCCACAGGTTTCTCCCTCGGGAGAGTAGCTCCATCAAATCTCTCAATGAGAAATGATGATCCACACACAAAAGTGCTACAGATAAAGCTGCCATTTGTTGGAAGCCATTGGTGTAGTCAAACTCCAACGATCCAGTTGGCTAGCACTCAAAATACGTGCCAGAATCATCTCCACTTGCCATCTCGATTAATGCTTGCAGTGCTAAGGGGGAAATGGCAAGAGGTTTTCTGAAGGCCCGCTTTGATACTGAGGGCCTTCTGGAAGTCCACCCCTTTCTCACTTTCCCACCATGGTACTCCTGCCCCCAGAGTCTTCTTTCAATGGCTGAAGGTACATCGTGTTTGGCATTACCAAGCATACCAATGATTGGAGTGATGGTATGATTCGGCACGTTACACATGTTCATAGACAATCACACCTACACAAGAGAGTAGGCCAGGTAGCTTTGGAAAAAGTAGAACTAATCCAAAACCATCTCCAATCCAACCTGTTTAACAGGTGGAATCTGAAGCAAAACTTGTTTGAACATCAAAAAAAGGTTCTGGTAAAAACATACCGTGTACAGTGGTGTATGCGTTTGTGCTTCCTAACTCAAGAAACAAAACAGGAGTATCAGTTCAGCAAAAGGCATGTACTCCATGGGATGTCTGGTCAATGTGGGAAGCTAGATATGCCCTGTGACTCTGCAGCTCAGTCAAACATCTTTGATTCCAAGACATTTTTCTGAACATGGGCCTCTAGCTTCAACTGCCCAAACTCCACAGCAATAGGGTTGCCAAGCCGTTTTGGACGAACCCTTTGAATGAACTGAACAGGAAAGAAAATTTTAGCTATCCCCATCCATAGCATTCTTCACTGTTCTCCCCAGTTCCGGTCCATTTTTCCTCCCCATTGGAGGTCCACCACATGCAAATCTTGAAGGACGTCAACCTCCCCTGTTGCCCAGCCCCAGCATCCGTATTGCTCTAGCTGCCCCTTTGAGACTTCACAGCTTCTTTAGCACATGCAGCCCCTCGCAAGTCCTTGGTTTTCCGCTGGGTGCCTCCCATTGGGAGATTCCTCAGTATGGGAACTTCTTCTTGGTCGCCAAAGCTGCAGCAGCTGCCCCAGCTCCTTGGCCCGTGCTGCCATGTCCATCCAGATGTTATCTCTCCGCTTTGCCCCCTCACAGCCAGTGCTTCTTCCTCAGAGGTCAGGGATGGCTCAAAGGATCAGAAGAGCTTCTCTGGTCACAGAAGCAAAAGCCCTTCCTGAAATAAAGGAATGTGAGGATTAGAGGGTGAATTAACCATGAGGGGGTGGGAAAGATCATGGCATGCTTTGGGGGAATGGTGACCAGTTGTTTTCCTAAGGCCAGATGCTAGAAGGGTGGGATTTCAGTGGAGGGGGGAATATCTGAGGAGGCATTCCTAACCCTGGGGAGGGGGTGTCCAGAGGGGTTTCTATTTCTGACACCTCCCAAGCAGCTCGTGTGGCTGCTTATTGGATCCCAGGGCAACGCAGAACCCCCAGCAGCTGCTCCCCATTGCAATGCTCTGAACCAGGAATCTCAGTCCCTCCTTCCATTGGGAAGGGGCTTTGCTACGACGGCCGCGAGGGCGGAGGGTGCTGGGTGTGGGACTGGAATGCATCCAGCTCATTACCTTCTCCAGGGACTCTCTCCACAGGCGCCGCGGGAGCTCTTGCACTCTGACGTCCTTCCAGCCCTCCTGCTCGCTGGGGTCTCTGAGCCGCCTCTCTGCCGTCAGTTCGGCTCCCACACGCCATTCAGGAAGTGCTTAAGCTCCCAGCCATTTCCGGATGACTCACTGCAACAAAAGCAGAAGACACACTGTGAGCCGGGCTGGCTGCAGCGACACACCACACCTCGCATCGGGCACTGTGCGTTCCCCTCGCAAGGGTGCCCAGCATGCTCCTCCTTGACTGAGCACTGCCCTGGCCGCTGCTCCGACAGCGGAATGGAGCGCTGCAGGTCAGCCAGAGAGCGCCCTTCCCCGCTGAGCTACGTCCCTGCTTTGCCCTACTTCCAGCTCTTTAGGAACAGGAAGCCGGAGAAGAAGAAACGGTCCTTGTTCCACAGACTTTCCTGGCTGCCGGGGAGAGGGCAGTCCAGCTTGGAAGCTGACCTCAGGAGGCTCATGTCCTTAAAGGACCAGCCCAGCATCCGAATGAGAGACTGACAGAACAGTTTAAGAGAAACTACATACGAATTCCCATCTCAGGGCAGTGAAATTAAATTAGGAACCGCCCACTGCATCTTCCCCATGCTATGAGAAGAGTAACGTAAGTGGGACCTCCCCTAAGTCAGTCCTATTTGCCTATCTGAGTAAAACTGGTCTGAATTTTAACCATCTTTTCTGTTTGTGGACCATGGACCTCAGCCTGTTTGGAAATGGCATCTTTAAATTTCCCTAACTACCCATTCCCAAGCACCAAAAAAGTTTCGATGTCCGACTTTGATGCTGTTATTGAGTCCCTAAGTACTGAACTGGACTGGCTGCATTTCAGGCAGTCATTATCAATCATGTACAACTACAAAATGGAGAGGAGAACTTACCTGTCACTTGCGGGAGTTCCATCGAGAAGGCTCCCAGAGTGGCCTGGCCAATTGTTCTCCACCACTGTTCTTCCAGCAACGGAATCCAACAGAGCAATCTTTCTGCAAAGTTGCTTTTCTTCTGCCTTGCCCTTTTTTCCCCAGTGTTGGTCAATAGTCCTAATTATATGGGCAAGGACTGCTATGCCCCCCGAAGCAGCTGCAGCAACTGGTTCCCTGCAGTTCCAGAACTCTAGAGTGAGGCGTTTTCTGCAGTGTCACCTGTTGCATCCCGCGGCATGTGCTCTCTCTTCTCTGACTCTCCAACTTTTGCGAAGCAGCTGGCCTCTTGCCTCAGAGAAAGCAGTGCGACCCAAGCTTCCCTGCAGCATTTCTGTATGCAGGCAAGTCAGCTCAGGAGAGGAAGACCATCAGCAGTTCATGCAACTCTGCCTTGAAGACCCCAGAGGGGCAGTGTGTCTTTGGTAGTCCATCCCATCACAAAAATATCTAGTCCATCTCTCAAGCACTAGAAGAAGTTCAGTGAGCACAAGATGGGGATAGTTTGATCTGAGTTCGAGTCATGTCCGATCGTTCCCACTCAGAGTAGTCTAGGAAGATGATTCCTGTACACTATTGAAATCTTTTTGGTATGTGAAGGCATCTCTTCTTTCTATAACACCTAGCTATTAGGTACAAACACATCCAGATGAGGGAGGGAGGCACGTAGCTCATCTTTGCCAGAGTCTCTCCTTCAGTTCCTGGATGGAGCTGAAGGACCTTAACAACCAGGTCAGAACAAAAGAGAATCCAACAACCCAACTTGGGAAGAAAAATGAGAGTAGGATCAGAGCAGGGCTTGGGCTATTTTGGTGGCTGAAACCCCTGCTCAGCTTCTCTAGGAGGTTTCTCCTGAAACTTGCAAAAGAAAGAAAGACCTTTCCTTTTCCTTTTCTGCATGGCATTGAGACTAAAGGCCAAAAGAAAGAGGACGCATGCAGAACCAATAGCTTTCTAGAAACTTAGTGAAAGTCCATTGATCAATGGAGGGGTAAGCAAAGGTCGTTTTAAGAGGTTCCTGGAAGGAGGAAAGAATGTCTGGAAGGAAAAGCACATTGAAGGACAGGACCCATATAAGTGGGAAGGAACTCCTTCTCTCCTGCCCATTTAAATCCCTCAGAAATCCTCAGCCAGAAAGGACAAGCTAGTGACCCTTGTAGCATAGTCCAATCCTTCCAACAGCTTTTTAAATAAGCACCCCTCAAAAGAGCTATGCAGCTTGAACTACCTCAGGCGATCCAAGCTAGCCGTGCTCTCCACCATAGTCTATCCCAAAGAAAAAACAAGGTCTCCTCCTTTTGGCCGGTGGAGTGAAAACCTCATGGCTGAAGTCTTCCACTGAAAGGAAGCCCCCTTCCTAAAGAAGCCACGGAACCCTTCTATGGCTCATATGACTGTGGCTGGAGGTGCAGAAATTTCCGGTTGAGTCCCATCGCTAGCCACAGGACTAGCAGTAGTGGAAGGGGGCAAGCTCTCCACTGAGTCTCCTAGCTGGTGCTCAGGGGTCCTCTGAGGGCTGGGCTCCTCGGAATGATCCAAGTTGCCCTCTACTTCCTTGCCTCTCTGGATCAGCTGTTCTAAGGTTTTGGGGTAGGGGTGGCTGAGAAAACGCTTGAGCTTGGGCTGGAGGGTCCCTACGACATACTGGATAACTTCCTCCTCATCGGCATCAACATAGAGGGTCTGGTACAGGTCCCTCTTGCGCCAGAGGAACTGGTCCAGGGGCTCCCCATCCTTCTGAGGAAGATCCAGCTCCTGCTTGATGGCATCTCTGGTCAGGGTGCCCTCACTATACTGAAGGAACTCCTTCTTGAACTCTAGCCAGTTCTTAACAGAGTCCTGCTTGTATTCCCACCACTTTTTGGCAGGACCATTCATGTGGTTTTGGATCTGAGAGAGCCAGTACTCCTCAGTCCCACCCACCTGCTTCAGATAGTCCTCCAAGTGCGTCAGGAACTCCCGGGGATCCTCAAATATCTGGGTCTCCACCGGAGAAGGTGGGGCATCCTCTGGGACAGTGATCCACTGATAGGAGTCATGGGGCATGTCCCCCAGTGGAGGAGGTGTCAGGGCATACATCTGACTCATGTCCAGCGCATAATCGTAAATCTCCCCCTCACTGGGCCTGATCTCTGGGCCTCCTACCCCCACAGAGGCAGTTTGCCTCGCACATTCCCCATGGCTGTATTTCCCCCCACCGGACTCCAATCTGTCAGCCCATTTCTCCAGGCGAAAAAACACTTCCTTCCAGACATTCATCTCTCTCTTCACCCACCTCTCCAAGTGAGCAATAGTCTCCTGGCATCTAGACAGGCAGGCCTTGATGGACTTCTTCCACCTCTGGTTCTCAGCAGCCGAAGGGACGTGGTCTTCGAGGTTGTTCTCCAGCTTCCCCACCGATTTCTGGAGGCCTTTCAGCTCCCTCTCCACCTGCTTGGACACCTCAGTCAAGAGGTGCCGGTGGGTTCTCCTGACGTGGTCTAACATCTCGGCCCTACACTTCCCTATCTGAAGGATGACATTGGGCTTGTTGTTGGCCATGCCACGGTGGCCCTGGAAAGAGTGGATGCTCCCGTGGTTGATATTATCCAACTGCATGGTTCTAGTGGGCAGCTGTGGACTAGTGTTGCCTTCAACTCCTCGCAAGCCCTCCTGTGCAATCACCCAGTGCAGAAGTGGACTACCGGTTCGCCCCCCAAAATCGCAAACTCAAACGAATCAGCAATCACCCCAGGAAGAGTCGCGGTCCGGAACCACTTGGGCCACACCAAAGTCCAGGAAGGAAAGTTCGCTTCTGCCTCGGATGCTTCTTCTGCCTTTGATCGCTGAGCTGAACCACCAGGCTGCTGCTCAGCGCGGCCTGAAGCTTCCCGCTGGCACGGGTGCCTCCGCTAACGCTTCCGTCCCGCTTTCGAGCCTCCCGAGAAGTTCACACTAACAAGTGCCCGACACTCGCGCTGCCTCGGCTGCCAAGCAGAGAGCTGCTCGCTTTCTCCCTGTGAAGTGCCGTAGTCCAGGCAGCTCCTGGTACTTATACGCCACACAGCTCCGTATGTGGGCGCAGCCGGTCTTCTTTGCTCATCAGCAACTTGCATCTGATTGGACGAGGAGGATTCGGTGGAAAACACAGCTCCTGGCAAGACTCCCAGCCTCCCCCTCCTGTTTGCTTTTCCCACCTCCTCGCACACACCCCAGACTTGAGGCGAGAAGCGCTTTAAAGGTTCTGGAGACATTTGGATGGATGGATGAGTAATCCATAGCTTCCCCCCTCCATCTACCCTTTCCCTTCAATCCCCCCCCAAAAAAAAACCCAGCAGAGAAAAAGAAATGATTTATTCATCTTGCTGTTCCTAACTCAGCAAGGTCCTGATTAAAAACCTTCCCCAGAAGATCCCTGGCAAGAGAGGGGACCGGATTAAAATGCAACGCGTCACCCTCCACTGGCCAGCCATGGGTCGCTTGCTCATGACCCTCCCACCCCACAGAGCACCCCCACACCGCCACCCCACACCTGGGATCATGCATAACGACTTCTGACTGAGCAAAAGGGGAAGGGGCCGGTGGGGAAACCAGGGAAGGGGGCATGGCTTTATTTTCCGAATGGGAGCAGTGGATTAGGATTCAGCCCTTGGGGTACACCAGCTGCCACAAGCTTTGGGGAGGGGGGACCGTGTCCTGAGATGGGGAGGGGGGTCCTGCCCATCCAGGGCTTCCAACCAATTAAGTCCGCCCCTTGCAAAGCTTGAATCAGCAGCTTAATCACACAGCCAGCCCACAAACTCAGATGAAGCCGCGCTTCTTCCTGGCACTTGTCGATGAAGCAGGAAGTCGAGCCATAAAAGGACACCCGGGGCTTATATAACCCGAAGAAGCAGAGATTCCCTTTCTAGAAAGAGAGAGAGTTTCCCCTCCGGAACTCCAGCCCGTCATGCAGCGGGAGGGACCGCGGTGACAGGCGAGCGGCTGATGACACATGATGAGGAAGGGGGCTGCCAAGCATGATCGGGGGGGGGGGGGTTATGTAATTTGGTGGTGACATGTCAGACCCCTGCCCGTGCCCCCCCCCCGCGTGCACTCCTCAATTCCCTGCTCGAGTCCCGATCTGGATAGATGCGGCTGATCAGAGTTAAGCTCCCCTCTTAGATCTGGAGAGCTTCACAGGGATTTCAGAGTCTCTTCCCTGCGTGGCCCAGACTCTGGAGCAACACTGGGGATACCCGGGGTTGTGGGGCCAGAGATTTCTGCTCCACAAAGTCTTGCTAGGTATGAGGGGTGGGGGGTGCATAGGGGGCAGTCCTTCCCAAATGTGAGGCTCCTGGTGTCTGATTTGGGAAGAAGGGCTGGAACAGACAAGTCTTTGCTGTGAAATTTAATTTTTTTTTGGGGGGGGGGGGGAGTTCTGAGGTGAGTTTTGTTCTCTGACAAGCTTGATAGAGGGATGGGAATTTGACCTTTGCAAAGGCACCATATTATAATCCGCCTTCTCTCGCATGATGTGTTTATGGAAATAGCAGGCTGTTTTTTCTAGGGTGGGGCCAGGTTTTTCAGAGGGCTCTATTTTCTGCAGCACTGCAGAATCTCAGGACAAAGAACAAATTTGCCCCTTCTGGGCTCCAATGCAGCATCCCAGGGCTACCCAGAAGTCCCTTGGACTCAGTCCCCTTTCCCCTAACTCCCCACCCTCTGCTATTTCCCATCTCCCTGCAGTTTCCCCACATTCTCCCTGATTAGAACGCCTCTCTTGAGGCTTAATTGCTGGCAGTGAAACCTTTAAGAGGAAATATCCTGGCATTTTTGACTTTGCCCCCTTTGGCCCTCTGCTTCACCTGTCACAGAAATGCCATCCCAAGAGCTTCCCAAACTGGAGGTTTGGCTAGAAGAGCAGCAGCAGCCCTCATTTACAGTCCAGGAAATCAAATGGCTTCTCCAAAGCCTCACCTGATTTGTGGGCAGAATAATTGGAAGGAGAGAGAGAGAACCCCGAAAAATCACCTTGTGTGGGTGGGTGGGGGAACGGCTGAAAGACACAGACCTGTGCTCTCCGCAAAATGACTAGCTTTGGGGAAAGCTTGTGAAGCACGTCCTGAGCAAGCTCCGGCACAAGGACAAGTATTTTAAATCTAGTGAGAATACTGTCGAGATATATCCGGATAATGAAATGCAAGAGTCATCTCTGAAAGTGCCAAAACTTCCTTTTCAGAACGTTCACATGGACGTTGTGTTGGAACTCACCCCTTCTTCCAAATCGTGTCGGCCTGAACTCAGCCCTGTGTAAGATCGATCGTCAGCTCCTGGCCTTGGGCAGATGTGACCCCAGGGGGAAGGGTGGGTTCCTCTCTTGCCTTCTGCAACCGGTTCTCTCTGACCTGGACTGCAACCCTGCCTAGAAGGAGAGGCAAGACCAGCAGAGGCAGCCTCTGGTTGGCTGCTTCTGGCCAGTGTTCCCCAACAGGGCAGGTAAAGAAACAGAGCCAGCAAGGGGAAGGGGATCAAAGCTGGATGATCACTTGCGGGCCCCTGCTTGGATGCACCTCTCAGCAGCTGTGCCACAGCACTGACTCCTAACACCTACCTGTGAGCTCGCTCACCCGTGCTAAGTCCACCAAAGCAACAAGGTCACCCTGTGGAGGTGCTCCACCTGTTCCCAGGAGAGCTAGGGGCTGTGTGGGGCATGGTTGTGCTAGAAAGGCTTTCCTTCCTGTTCCCATCTTACCACCTCCCCTTCCTCTGTTTCTTTCCTGCACTGAGAAAGGAGGTTTGAGGTGCAGTTCTGCTTACGTTGAGTTGAATGGGAGCAGAAAGCCTCCATGTGGTTAGGAACATGTTGAATCCAAGCAAGTCTTGTGTATGTTTAGTCGCTAGGTTGTGTCCGACCCATCGCGACCCCATGGACAACCTTCCTCCAAGCTCTCCTGTCCTCCACCATCCCTCGGGGTCCACCCAAGCCCACACCCACCTCCCCAGTGACCCCATCCAGCCACCTCATCCTCTGCCTCCCCTTCTCCTTTTGCCATCCATCGTTCCCAGCACCAGGGTCTTCTCCAGGGAGTCCTTCCTTCTCATTAGGTGGCCAAAGTATTTGAGTTTCACCTCCAGTATCTGTCCTTCTAGAGAACAGTCAGGGTTGATTTCCCTTAAAACTGTCCAATGGTGGTTGACGGTGATATTTGTGCCCTTCCTCTTTCCCTTTTCAAGGACCCCAAGGAGGCTTCAGTGGTTGTCTTCTTCTCCATAGGCTGAGAGTCAGTGACTGGCCCAAAGTTACCCAGTGAACTCAAGGCTTGATGGTGACTGCACCATGCTCTCCAGCAGCCCCGTCCATCCCTCTTTCCACTACACCAACTTTTGGACGATCCAAACCAAGTAGGAACTCCATTTGCCTGAGAATTCTAGCAACCTGATGAAACCAAAGCAAGAAAGCTAATCAAGAACACTTGGAGGATCATCCACAGAGGAGCCGTCACCACCCGACTGGAACAAAGCACAGCCTGCGCTGAAAGCTGACCCACTGAACCTTCAGGGGAACTGACTTGCACCTTCAGGAGAAGGCAAGATTGCAAGAAGAGCCATGCTGGCTCAGACCAAAGGCCTATCTGTTCAGACACTGGGCGACCAGATACTCACAGGAAATGTACTAGCAGGATGCGAGTGCAAAGGTGCCTCCTCATTTATCCTCAGCAACAGCCATGCAGAAGCAGACTGTGTCAGACTAGAGGTAATTGCACCACCCTGGTTTGTAGCCATCAATATCTTCCACGAGCGTGTCCAATCCCCTCCTCAAACCATCCATGTTGGGCTCCTTCACTCCTTCTGGAAGCAAATTCCAAAGTTTACCTAGGGAGTCGGTGAGTGAGTCCTTCCTTTGACCTGCCTGCCTCATTTTGAGAGGACACCAGCAAATCATTCCACAGTTCAGAATACATGGCTGAAATAGGATTACATCGAAATCTTCCCATCTGCCCTACACTAGCCCAAGAGTTTAGCCCAAAGCTAGGCGCAGACTTTTCCCAGCCTGAACAGTCCAGAGGAAGCAAGTGTCCCTCCAGTCATGAGTCTCCAGTTATTGCAGCTTCTTGGTGGGGGCAGGGAACAGGGGTCCCTCTTCCTCCGTTTCTTGTTTTGGCAGCATCCCAATTTCTTCTCTGCTGTTTGGCACTTTCTCAAGAGAGGGAGACAGAAAAGGGGTTTCCTTTTGGGTTTCCTGACTGGTGAAGGTGCCATGACAACCATTCTAGTGCGATTTCTAATAAAAGGAAGGTGAACAGACAGAAATGAAGATGGGAGGGGAACCGGAAGTCGAGGGAGCCGGAGGATGAAGCAGGCAGCCAAATTAGCATGGAAATGTTGAAGGGGAATGGGATGGGGGAGGGGAGGGAAGGGCAGGGGGGGGATCAGGAGCAGT